CTACAAAAAGTGTTCGTGAAAGGAACACCAAGGTGCCACAATTTCATTAGATGCATTAGGTAGTGCGATAGCATAGTGGGATGGAGCAAATACTTTACAGTGAATAACTGACACAATTCGGCTTATTTTTTTAGCCTTGCAAGCTTTCTAATCAACTAATTATAGTTTTGTTTACCTGAAATTCTAAGCACCAGATAACTTCAATAAATAACCTTCACAGCATAGCTATTTTATACCTATTTTATCTTATGGGCACTTAAGACCTATTAATTAACCTCCAGCAGACACCCTTGTTGCACAATACCACAGCTTCCTGAGTGTGTTTGCCTGGGGTTTGCAGTCCTCTCTCCAAAGCAAGCAATTGTAGATCCTAATCTGGAAATTAAATTCTCAGTGAATTGCCTCTAATAATTGTCTCCCCAAATTACGTGTTGTTGTAAATACACTCAACAGCAAACCTACTTCTTTAAAGGATACTCCTAGAAAGCAAATAGAAAGAGGTGAAAAAAAAGCTGAAGCAAATTCTGTAGGGTCTTCTGAGTCTTTGATGGTGTTTCCCATGGTATAAAAGACCCAAAGTGGCTCAGGCTCTTAGGTTGCTCTCCATGGGCCCATGCTTCTTCCTTATGGCCCAGTTTTGGACTAGTTAGCAGTTGTGGTCTGTGGTCTTCAGGTTTGTGTTGAGGGATGATCCCTCTTCATCAGGGACTGTAGTGGTAGGACAAGGGGTGACGGGTTCAAACTGGAACAGGTGAAGTTCTGGTTGGATATAAGGAAGAAGCTCTTCCCTGTGAGGGTGCTGAGGCGCTGGCACAGGGTGCCCAGAGAAGCTGTGGCTGCCCCATCCCTGGCAGTGCTCAAGGCCAGGTTGGACACAGCGGCTTGGAGCAAGCTGCTCTAGTGGAAGGTGTCCCTGCCTGTGGCAGGGGTTGGAACTGGATGAGCTTTAAGGTCCCTTCCAATGCAAACCTTTCAGGATTCAGTGATTCTATGAGAGTAAAAGGATATTCCCTGGGACATCCATGAGATCATCATAATACATCCATTGGGATTCATTTAAAAAGAAGTTACATGCTGATGTGTAGCTGGTATGGCTGATGCTCTGAAGTTATCCAGTCCTCCCCTGATACACCCCTGAAAATGGGATTTCAAGGCCAGGTTGGACAGAGCCTTGGGTAGCATGGTTTAGTGTGAGGTGTCCCTGTGCATGGCAGGGGGGCTGGAACTGGATGATCTTAAGGTTCTTTCCAACCCTAACTATCCTAGGATTCTAATATTTCTTGGAGCAAATGTACGTCAGTACTAAATACACAAGTACACATTAGTTACCAAGAAGCTGCTGTGCCTCTTGAGATAATTGCTCCCCTTCCTTCCCCTGTAGTTGTACAGGTCAGCCCAGGACTGCCTTGAACTAGTACAGCTCTTCAAGGCGCGCTATAATGACTTCAGTTCTTAAAGGCAGGCCACAACCTACACATGCAGCATTCAAAATCAACATCAAAAATCATGAGTCATATGCCAGAAGAACTTGACATTTTTTTATCAAGTGCTTTTGTGTTATTTCTGGTTTGGGTCACATTTTATGGTTATCCTTTTGAGTCACAAAACTTGTACTTTTTGTTGAGGTCACAGTTGTTATGATGTTGTTATGAGTCTGCTGTGATTTGGCTCTTTCCTGTAGCTTCACCTCATGAAGCCTGGGGATAAAAGTGATCCACAACTCAGTAAAAGGTTGATGGCCATGATGTCCTGGGCACTGTATCCATGTGCTTTGGGTCCCCAGGGCTTTGGCTGTGGCTCCTGATATCTGGGGTCCTGCCAAGCCCCAGTTCCTGCTCTCATCCCCATGCCCATCTTGTCCCATCTTGAGTCCCTTAATTGTGGAATTCACATATTATAGTTCTGAAAGAAAACGTGAGGTGCCTGAACCTTCCCTTTTGTGCCAACAGAGATGCAGCTGGGCTGTTCATGATGTTCGTTAATAAAGTAAATTCCTTTAGCCATGGTGGGGTGAAGAGTGAAACAACAGGGGGAAGCAGAGGGTTAAAATAACTGAGCTGATGTGAAGTGAGCTGTGAAGAACAGGTCCCAACAGGCCCCTATGTAAGTAATTCTTTCTTTGGACTTAATCTTCTACTTCAGTTTACAGTTAAGCACATAATCCTTCTTACTTTAATATTTTTACCTCACTCTTTGTCTTCTCTTCGTTTCACCAAAGCAGCAAAAAAAAAATAAAATACAAGACCGGAGTAAGAGACTCAGGTGGATGTGGACCTTTTGGGTCCCTCTTCCTTATGGCAGAAGATCCACTTCTGGTGTCACAGGGGAGCTTGGGGTGGGATTAAATAGGTCCAGGTGCAGGATTTATGTCTCTGAGCCCATATCACAGCCCAGCTGAATAAATGAATTCCAATAATTTTTGTTGAGACACAGTTTTGGAGAACACTAAGAAAACTTTGATTTCATTTTACCTGCAGGTGTTAGAAATGAGTTCCTCTGGGGACGTTATAAATGTCTTTGAAAGGACTGGAACTGAGCAGGATACTACTGGAAACCAGACACTGCTAATCTGTGACCCAAAATTGAGCTGGTCATTTATGGTGAGCAGCAATATGCGTCCCACTGAGACACCCCAGAGACTCCCCAGAGCCTCAGTGTAGGGTTTGCAGGGAGCATTTGTCATGTGTGAAGTCCCATTGCTGCATGGCAGGGACAGACCTGAAGCTGTGAAATCGTTTTGTTCTCCAAAAGAGCAGAGCAAAGCGAACCAAGAGGCAGACCTCCAGCTACATCAGCTGGCCTGCACCTGCATATGCATTTGGTATACCCCATATTCCTTCCATACTGCCTGCACCTTTGGACAATAGATTTATGTAGCTATTTTACAACCAATATGGACATAAGTTTGAAGAATTACGCATTTTTTTATCGAATGTAAAGTCATCATGCAAATCTATCACCTAAAATATGGGCACTGTGGAAAGAACTTGATAATCCTAAAGAAGCCTTATAAAATCTTTATTGGATTTTAATTTGTAGCATGGGCTATAAATTGTGCAAGCTGCGGTGCTTGTACCATGTCCCTGACATGGCACAGACTGGGTTGCCCTTGGACCAATGACAGTGACAAAGATGCTCTTTTTAATAAGGTAACTAACTCCAAGAGAGGCCTCCTTCCAACACTTTATTATGGTTGCATTAAGCTGTCCACAGCCAATTGCCCTTCCTTTTTTGTGTGGAGAGGGTAGACAAGCTCTGTTAGGGATGGCCAGATTGCAGATCTTGCAAAATACTTTTTGAGGGCTGATGGCTGTAAATAAAACATGTCTGGTCTCTAGAGATAACACAAGGCCCCAGTTCATGGTTTGGTGCTTTTGAGATATATTAGTTATTTAAGTAAGTTTTGAATAATTTGAGTCACTTGGAGCTATAGTACTGTGTGGTTCACTGTGTTGTGTGCTTAGATTTACTTGCTTAGGATGAGCAGTTAGATCTGCTGAAGCCTTAGGCCATGGGCTGTGGACTTTCACCCAGAGATGCTTTTGGCTGGAACAGACTTAGTTTTCTTAGTATCTTTCCCAGAAGCTGGTGCAGTGCTGTGCTTTGTCTTTGGTGTGAGAAGAACGCTGTTAACACAATGATGTTTGAGCTGTTGCTGAGTCATGTCTATCATGGGTCGAGGTAAGTGTCTTGCGCTCTGTCCGTGAGTGGGTGCAGAAAAAGCACAAAACAGGATATAAGGAAGCACCCACTGTCAGCAGAAGCAGCCACTCCACAGGGTAAGAACAGTTAATGGCCTGCCTGTGTGAAACAGAGAAGGAATCCAATAAGGTGTTGGAAGATCCCACGCCGAAATGTCACCACTGGGGTAAAAAGGCTTGTGAGGGGCAGGTGCATAAATGATGAGGATGTGATTGCCCAGGGGTTTCTTTGCTGGGGGTCCCTCTCCATGTGTCCCTTTTACTCTACCACTCAATGATAAAGTTGTTTTTTCCTGGAGTAGAACAACTGATGCTCTGCTGCAGTGTTGAGCCCAAGGGAGAAGGAATCACCCCTGAGAGTGATCATGTGTGTGAGCAAGGAGTCAAAAGAGGCACCCATGGGCTCACTAGTCCCAGCAGCTGCAGTCTCATAGGGCTTGTGTGCAGCTCCTCAAATGGTGTGTGAATGCTCAGGCAGCAGCTTCTCCCCTAACAGTATGTCCTTAAATCCTCTCACTTTAACTGGCATGGATATAGGCATTGAAAAATTCCTGCTTGTGTTGGCTACTCCTTTAATTTGGGGCTTAATTCTGTCCCTGTTTATCAGCGTGCCTGTGGCCAGGTGACTGTTCTTAATGTGAGCAACAATAGGCACAAAGAGGAGATTTTCAATAAGCTCGATTAGAAATCCATCTAGATGCACTTCAGCTGTCTGAACAGCTTTGAAACATCAGTCACAGAGCACTGAGCTGCCACAGGTGGTCAGTAAGGTTTAAGCAAGTTGTAAAGGTCTCTGCTTAATTCACTGGTGGTGGTGCACGTGGGTGCTTCATGCAGACCCTACTATCGAGGCATGTACACAGGCAGATAACTTGTTTTCTGAGGTATTTACACTGGCTACCCTGGGCAGGACTCAGTAGAGTCTAAAATTAGTGTATAGGAACTTGAAGGACTGGGTGTATTGAGGACAAGCAAACAGCTTTCCAGTGCCTAAAGGGGCTGCAGGAAAACTGGAGAGGGGCTTGGGACAAGGGCCTGTAGGGGCAGGCCAAGGGGAATGGCTTGAACCTGCCCGAGGGGAGACTGAGCTGAGCTCTTCGGCAGAAGCTCTTCCCTGTGAGGGTGCTGAGGCGCTGGCACAGGGTGCCCAGAGAAGCTGTGGCTGCCCCATCCCTGGCAGTGCTCAAGGCCAGGTTGGACACAGGGGCTTGGAGCAAGCTGCTCCAGTGGAAGGTGTCCCTGCCCGTGGCAGGGGTTGGAGCTGGATGAGCTTTAAGGTCCCTTCCAATGCAAGCCATTCAGGATTCAGTGATTCTATGAAGGCAGGAGGCTCCAGGTGAGCTTCGTGTTGGGCTGCCTGACAATTTCTGGGTGAAAGAATGGAAAAGGTGACATAAGATATGATAGATAAAGAATTATAGCACAGGAGTGTAATTAATGCCAGTCAAAATGGCTTTATGGGAAATAGGTCTTGTCAAAGAAATATGATTTCATTCTTTGATGAGATAACACATTTGGTTGATAAAAGTGACTGTGTTGAGGTAATAGACTCTTCTAAAGCGGTTAGTGCAGCATGGGCTGACACTCTGATTAACATTTATCGTGGTAAGCTATCAATAACGAGCACATTAAATGGATGGAGGGCTGGCTAACTGACAGGTCTTGGAGAGGGGCTGTCAGGAGGAAATCAGCAGCAAAGGGTGATATTTCAGTGAGATTCCTCTGCTGAAAGCAGTGCTGCAGGCTCCCATCCATGGCGTTAAGGGGCAGCACGGCAGTTTTTAACCATATTGTTGCCCCATGAGCACACTGTAGTCTTGTATTATTCGTATGGTGTAATTACCAAGTGTCTGGAAGGAGGGAGAGAATCCCGATTTGACCGTCTTCCTCAATAGCTGGAAGATCACTTGTGAGGGGATTTTATTCAGGTTTTGTACTTCAGGTGCAGAAATGAGAGCAGAGCTCAGAAGGGATATTTAATTGGTAACTTTTTATAAGCACCTACTTCTTGGCATCCTTCATGCGCGATGTTCTGTAATTCTCTCGAAGACTGAGCTGATGAAAGAAACTGGAGCAAGAGTATATCAAGGACAAAGCCAGGATCCAGCTTTTAATGAAGCAAACATAACCTTTTACTGAGGCAGACTCACCCTGCATTTGTCACGAACCCGATTAAAGCCTATACAGCCATTCAGTGCGGTGTTTAATTATAGCCGAGCCCGTGAGCCCCCTCAGAGTTAAGGATTTTCAGGATTTCTAATAAAATTTCCCTTTCTTTCTTGGATTTTTGGAGGCTTATAGCTTATTTACAGTGAAATACGCTTCAGGTTGAACTCGCTGATGCAAAATGGTAAGACGGTTGGTGCCCACCTGAGGATGAATTATCCTGGAGGGTGTCTGAACACCCCCCAGCTCTTTCTGCTTTCCTTGACTTTTGTTAACATAGGAGACACATAAGATAGTTTCCCGATTCATAAAACTTTTCCAATCACCTTTCCACCACCTGACCCTGAAGTGCAGAGAACACCAGAGAAGTTTTGAGGTCCACACCTGGATAACAACGTTGAGGGGAAGAGCTCTTTTTGTTGTGATAAAAGCGGTAGAGGTATAAATCTCTCTTTTCAGGTGTGAAGGGGAATGTTTATAGAGAATCAGGGAAACCCTATTGCTCCCAGGCAGGGAACCTTCTAAAGCCTTTCCTGGCTTGAGCTGGGGCTGTGTGAAGTGGAGGGGCAAGACAGAGAAAGCAGCAATTCTGAGAGGAGGTGGCATGGACCATAACAAAATTATTTAGCAAAATGGTTTCTATCACTTTTCCCATTTCTCCTGAGCCAAAGTTGCGGAATTGGGACCTTAATTCCAACAGCTTCCAGCTCATTGCGGTAACATCAAGCCACGTTTTAATTAAAAAGGGCTTGTGCATTTCTGCATTAGCATTATTTATTTGTTCAGTGGGTTTGCTGAGATTAGCATGCACATGGGGAGAGGGGCAACACACTCCCTTTACTCTTGGATCCAATAAATTTTATGCAGAAATATACTGACTGCCTCTGCCGCCAAATTGCGCACCTGGTTATTGCGGTGAGGATGGGTGTAATACTGCACATTAGGCATCATCTGCTTGCTCTCTCAGCAGAATTGGCCACAGTATAGCTGCTCCAGGTCCTTCATCCTTTAATACACTGATTTTACTATGTATGTGTGAAGTTATAAGCATTTTTCCGCCTGCACCCCTGCAAAAGTATGAAAGCATTAAAATCCCCAGAAGTTTGATTTTTCTCTTGTTGCTGTGCTCAGTTCACAACAAGATATAATAACAGCAATAGCAATAATAATAATAGTAATAATAATAATAACAATGATAATAATAGTGGTAATGATAATAACAATAACAATAATAATAACATTAATAATAACTCCACAATAATAATAAAGGGGAAAAGGCAAATCTTTCCTACCTTGTGATGAGATGAATGTATTAAATGCCTTGTTCCTATGTCAGGACCAAGACCTGGGAGGCTGCAACTGTGAAGAGCTGAGACCAACAATGAGATATTGCCTGAAATAAATAGGGGAAGGAATTTCTCCTTTGTAACTACAAAAGGCCATGAAAGAGTTGGTGAGAATTTGAAGAGATGATAAGGGTAATTTGTTAATGCAAGGAGAAAGAGAAATGAATCCTAGCAGTGCAGCTAAGGGCTGAGCAGTGTTCCAACGCCTGCCTTTATCCAAAGCACTTTGCTTTGTGCTGTAGGATTTTTCACTCACCAATTTTTCGCACAGAGGGGAAAGAAAGAAGCAGCCTTCAGCATATTTCTTACAGCTGTAAACAGAGAAGTGAAAAGGATCAAAAGAAATAATTTATCAACTCCCTGAATGCTTACAAAATAAACCCACTTTCAAGTTGCAGGGACTTCTCCCAAGTTTCTCTGCATCACAGGCTATTTATAAGGGCTCAGCGCTACTTATTTTCTGTGGAGGTTTGAATTTTTCACTTCTAAAGCAGCTTCTATCTGTGCATCTCCAAAAGCTTATGTAAATAGCAATGGGTGATGGTTCCCAGTGCTGCTACGGAGTATTAGCTCCCTTTTAGATAGCACAAGACAGGTATAGGAGGTAGCTTACACTGAGTCATGCATGGGTACTACTATAATAGCCTTATGTGATGCTGTCAATGGGCTGTGATGTAATAGGGGTCTAAAAATACCTGCTCTGGACTAATTTTGCATGCTGAAAACTTGGTGATGGGAACTAGGACTTGGGCAACTGGCCACTGAGGGCCCCCACTGAGGGCCTCCCATATGGTAGATCTTGCATGTATTTGTTTTTGGATTGCTTTCAAAAGCCATTCCAGCGTATTTCTCTGACTGCAAAGAGGTCAGATGTGGCAAAACACATGGCACAAGATTCTTAGAAATAACAGTGTGTCCCCAGTGCGGTGGATACCGTGGTCTGGCACTGTGCCTTGTGCTGGAGCATCCCTGCTCCATGGGCCAGACAGACGGCAGCGTGAGAGCGAGCCTTCTAATTATCTTCACGTGATATAATTAGATGGTGCTAATAGCATCCGTGGCATTCGTTTCTGGGTGGCAGTCATGTTTTCCTGCACAGGGGAATTAATTTGACTTCATTAGAGAGAACTAAGAGAACAAATCTCCATCCCTGGCAGTGTTCAAGGCCAGGTTGGACACAGGGGCTTGGAGCAAGCTGCTCTAGTGGAAGGGGTCCCTGCCTGTGGCAGGGGTTGGAACTGGATGAGCTATAAGGTCCCTTCCAGCCTGAGCCATTGTATGATTCTATGACGTCTTGCAACGTGTTGAAATTGAAGTGTGCAAACCATATTCAGCTTCCATGAACCTACCTTGTGATAGAAAAGACAGATTTCAAGGAGTCAGACTGCAGAAATATGCAATATTTAGCCATGTAATGGATACTTCGCCATCCTGTGGCTGTTTACTTCTAGTCTTGCCAATATGAGAAGGTGATACCTAAACCTTAGGTCTGGAAATCCTGGCTATGAACTAGACAAGTGTTCAGCTGTGTGCAAGGTGTTGGAAATTGGAACCACAAGGCTGCTGATAGCTGAAAGGCAGTTGGAACTTGCTATGTTATTTAGGCTGTTAGCTGAAAGCCTTTATTTAAGAGCATTGATGGAGAAAGTGAACCTTTGTATACGCCTGCACAATCCATCATAACACAGAATGAAACCCGGTAAAGACGTCACCTATTTTACATGGGAAAATTGCTTTGTGGAATTTCCCATTGAAATTCTCTCTTTGGACACTGCCACTGACAGCAAACCTGGCTTGAAAGACCAAAGATTTTTTTTCAGGTATCAGCAGAAAAGATTAGCTTTGAGGACTCACATGTTCCTGGAAAGAGCTTTCTCCAGCTGAAATGTTTCATAGTTTTGGTGGGGTTTTTTAATTTATTTTAAATTGTAGCCTTGAAAATGTCTGAGCTGATGCTATGAAAATTTCTGCTTTCTTCTCAAAGTCATGTTTTACCTAAAAGATTGCACAAAATACTAATTTCCTCAGCTGTAACTGTAAGCACAGGAGTTTTTATTCCCTTCAACAGTACCCAGAGCATTATTATGTACAACAGGGGGAAAACAAAAAAAGCCCCAGTGAATCTCACTGGGAAATGAGCAGCCCAGACTGAGGCGTGGTCCTCAAACACTGTGATTCTCCATCCATTTCCCAGGTGCTCGAGACCAGGTGCGGTGCCCTTGGGAAATAGCCCTTCTCCGGACTGGTCTCGCTGTTTCTCTATGTCATACAATCATTAGGGACTGTAGTGATAGGACAAGGGGTAATGGGTTAAAACTTAAACAGGGGAAGTTTAGATTGGATATAAGGAGGAAATTCTTTCCTGTTAGGGTGGTGAGGCACTGGAATAGGTTGCCCAAGGAGGTTGTGAATGCTCCATCCCTGGCAGTGTTCAAGGGTGGGTTGGACGAGGCCTTGGGTGATATGATTTAGAGCGAGGTGTCCCTGCCCATGGCAGGGGGGTTGGAACTTGATGATCTTAAGGTCCTTTCCAACCCTAACTATTCTATGATTCTGTGGTTCTATGGTTTGGTTTGAAGGCATCTGAGAGCTCATCCAGTTCCAACCCCTGCCATGGGCAGCGACACCTTCCACTAGAGCAGCTTGCTCCAAGCCCCACTCAACCTGGCCTTGGAAGTCCCTGCAGTGGGGACCATCTCCCATGACTCTGATCCCTGAAGCCCTCAACAAGGATTCCAAGACAGAACTTCTCCAAAGTTGAAGTGAGAAGGAAGCAGGAGCTCACTGAGCTGAGCACCTCACGGGCACTGCAGAAGCTGCATGGTGATGAAGATCAGCTCTGAAACACGTAGGAAATGTGGAGGCCTTTCCTGGTGGAACCATGCTGGGATAGTTGCACCGAGGTATGGAGCTGATAGAACTTGCAGCCCTTTGCAGTCTGTCACAACAAGACTTTTCCATCTTTTCAAAGCAATACAAATGCAATTAGCCAGCAATGGGCTTGAATTACTACCCTGAGCAGCTCCTGAACACACAGCCTGAAGTCCCACACAGCCTGGCATGACTCCTGTACTTCCATAATCATAGAATCATAGAATCATAGAATAGTTAGGGTTGGAAAGGACCTTAAGATCATCAAGTTCCAACCCCCTGCCATGGGCAGGGACACCTCGCTCTAAACCATATTACCCAAGGCCTCGTCCAACCTGGACTTGAACACTGCCAGGGATGGAGCATTCACAACCTCCCTGGACAACCTATTCCAGTGCCTCACATCACACAGGTGATTGTGTTTATACAGCAAGAACTGTTTGCATTTTCTGGGTGTTAGGTGGGGGCTGAGATGCAGCCAATACTGTGGCTTTTTGTGCTGTTTCTGAGGCAGCCTGTGGTCTCATACCACCTCGAGGAGGCAGCAGTAGGTCCCTGCTCTGCTTCTGGGTACCCTTGTGAGAGCTGGGACTCATCACCCACCGTGCCATGTAATCAGACTCACTGGCAAGTGCTATCAAATGGTAATTATTGTGATTTGCATAAATATAGGTGAGCTCATCATCAGCAGCTGCTCCCTTCGGGTCCAGCACAGTGTGCATGAGTCTGTGCTGTATGGCAGTTTTCGGGGAAAAACAGTGGGAAATGGGGACGTGGGAGGAAGCTGCAGGTTTGTGTGGCATTGCCTTTGTTTGTGCTGTGACCTTTGTACTTCCAAGATGCCCCTTTGGGTCTGAATTGTTTAGAGGTGGCAAAGGACATCCCCAGCCTCTGCATTCCCCATTCTAACCTACCCAGAGAGAACTGGGGTTTCTTCACCTCTGTCTTCTCAGAGGATTACTTGCCTGCTCCGAGAGGTGCAGTGCAATGCAATCAGCTGGTGGAATGTGTACAGTGTCAGGGCAGAGATTTAATAAACCAGAAGCATCTCATTGCCTTAACAGGGTCTTAAATCACAGAATGCTGGACTGGTTTGTGTTGGTAGGGAGCTTAAAGCTTATCCATATCCAATCCCTACCATGGGCAGGGACACCTTCCATTAGATCAGGTTGCTTCAAGCCCTGTCCAACCTGGCCTTTATTAAATGTGTTTATTTAAATCCCCACCTTCATGCCATTTTAACCCCTTCTGAGTGTGTGCATGGTTTAAGCCTCTAGCTGGGGCATTGCTCAGGGATGATGCTGAGACTCTTGAGCAGACACAGCAAAGATTTTTCTGATTCTTTACTGAAAGTGGGAGCTTTTTCTTTTGGTGCACAGAGATCTGTTATTGGCTGTCGGTGACAGCAGAACCAAAGGTTATAGATGTGTGCAGTTCTTTTTTTATTTGATTTGGAAAAGGAGAAGAGGGAGGTTAAAAAAAAAATATGTTAGTTTAAGTTTTCAAATGAAAAGAAAGGGAACCAGCAATTCATCGAGTTTTGACAGAGCACTCCATCATGTGCTCCTCTTCCAGGAACAAAAGTGAATTTGCAAGAAAAATAATAAAAGACAATGGGAGGTACAAACTTTTTCCAAAGGGAAACATTTCTCTATTGTTTTAACAAATGTGAGGAACAAGGGCAAACACATAGAGCCATCCCCGGTGCACTTTCTCTGGGCCGTAGCTCTTCCTCTCCACATTCCCAAACAAATGTGAGGGCACGGACACGTGTGTGTCCTCTCCTCCCCATCCTCCACCCCAGCAGCTGTTGGTACCTCACAGTCACTTCTGCTTCCGAAATAATTACTGTGTGGAGTGGTTTTGGAGAGGGCTGAGGTTACGCTTCCCATAATAATGAAGGAGAGAAAGGCAGGCAGTGAAATCCTTTCCTGGTGGCGCCAAGCATTTGTTCTGTCATAAAATGAGACTGCTGCATATACACCCTTGGGTAGGTACGTTTTGAGTGTTTGCTTGCTGCATTAATACCCTGGAAAGAAACAAGAAGTTTTTCACAGGCTGAGCTTTTAAAAAACCCTCTGAGAGTAATGAGGTTTGTTTTGGCCTGATTTCTTCTTGTTCTTTCTTCTGCTCTACGTACCAGCTGGAGGGTTTTATACATAGCACCTATGTATTAGCTTATTCCCAAGAAGCCTGTGGGAGAAACGAGTTGTTATTAAGCTGTTGGTTGGAGATGGCATCAAGTTCTTTTGCATTCAGCAGAGTTATGCTGATGGGGAAGCCCAAGGCTTGGCAGTGGAGCGAGGCTGTAACATGGTGTGTA